ACTCGTCGTGACATATCTCAGGTGGAGAAACATGGGCGGAGTTGTTATTGGCAACAAATATGGCATGGTTGCGTTGATGTGAGGCGCGTGACTCTGGTTCTTCATGGGTTGGGGATGAAATTTCGGTAGTTATGTTCTCTCGGTGTATCGACTCACTCGTCGTGACAGATCTCAGGTGGAGAAACATGGGCGGAGTTGTTCTTGGCAACAAATATGGCATGGTGTCGGGTTGCGTTGATGTGAGGCGCGTGACTCTGGTTCTTCATGGGTTGGGGATCTTTGTCTCCAAAGTGTTGCATCTTTCGTGGTGAGGTGCATCTTAACGGCGGCAGAAGGTAGTGACGGCATGTGGATCTCACACTCTGGTGAAAGGATGACTTTCCTCTAGCTCTCTTGGACCTCTTTTGGCTTGCTTCCCTTGATTTTTTTCGTCACAATATTCGGCTCATCACCGTTTGTTAGTGTAGGAGTTTCCTTTTACGTTTGGATTTTTTACTTGTTTTATGTTTGGTGTGTAATAAAGGTAATGCTGTCACCGTTCTTTAAGTTTTTGTCATTGAAGTATGTTCGGCTTTGTTTTTTAATGACGAATGTGGTTTCCCCACCTTCCTACTTTAGTTGTGTTTCTCACTCGGTTAAGTTATTTACCGATGGTGTGGATTTTTTGGTCCAGCTAGAATTTCTTCTAAGCTGTGTTGTTGATGCCCCTTCTATGTAGGGGTTAGTGATTTATTCTTCCAGCACTCGAAAGTTTATCTTGATTAGAGGGGTTTTTTCAAATAGAGGCCTAGGTGTGCTCGATCTTAATGTGTCGAGGTTTTCTTTCGTGTTCAGGTCTTAAGTGTACGTCTTTATCTTAGATGGGTCATTAGCCTTATATTGTGTTTGTTCATATGATTTCGTTTAAATGCAAGCTTCCTTTATTTAAAAAAAAAGTAGATCTACAATATAGTTCGATTCACTTATTAAAGTTTGAAGTTTACAAAGTTATGAGTGTGTATCGTAGTGCAGTTGATTTTTATTTTATTGAAGATTTAAAGATTGAGAAATGAGTAGTCTTGTCACGCCCCGAAACAGGGGTTAGTGACATGGATGCTCGTTTAGAAGTTAACCATGATTAAGAAAGTAATTAAGCATTTGGAAATATAATAATCAATACCAAAAGTAAAATATTAAAGAAATTTCTAAACAAACCCCACATTTTTAGTGAAATTAGATTACAAGAAAATGATGAGGTCTTTCACACTTGTTAATAAAACAGGTTTAAAACCTAGCCTCTGGGATCATTCAGGGTCTCCCCCACAGGATATTTATTATTGTACATACATGAACATGTAAAGAAATATTTATAGACATCAACCACAGTCTAGATATATTTGAGGTTTACAATCCGGTACTTTACAATTCTTACATTGAGACAACAAGAACGAAAGAAAGCATAACTCCTCTTGAACAACACAACTAGGGTTACCAGAGTTTGATATATATATATATATATATATATAAGCAGAAGGAAAACATGAGCAGAAGACCCAGTAGGATATATTTTGAAATAAACTTTATATACAAGTAAATAAATAAGTAGAAGTGTTCAGTCCCAACATAACAGCTGGAACCTAACATTCTTTTTCTGAAAGGAAATATAAACTTAAAATTCCGTATTACAGGCATCAACAAGTAATTTATAACTATGATAAATTACTTACACAACCATATGCATAAGCCTTAACACCACCATAGTGGCCCGTTTCAGGTTCTGCCCCCGAGGATACACTCTGCATATCCTATCTAAGCCATAAGCAGGCTTACCAGTTCGCAAGATGTCTTATATTAAGAAATCATTCATTAAAACTTTAGAACTGTTCATTATGATTCCAATAGCAATAATCAAGCTATTGTTTCAAAACACTTTTCTTTATCAAACATGTCCTTTCTTTAAAACATTTATATAGGCTAAAAAAACTCTTAAAATAGGCTAACAAAGAAAATGACAAGAAATCCTACCTCTTAAACATTAAACCTGTGACTAGCTTTCCGGTATCTTAGCCTGCGCTTCTTTCAAAGCTTCTAATCTGATTCTGCAACTAGCATTGTCATAAAACAAGATTTTAAGATTCAACCCTCATTCCTAAAATAAATCAAGCTCAACCGTACACAGTGATTCCTATTAATGTGCCTTAATCCAATTTCTAAGTTCCATAAATCATTTTATGATTTAAATCATCATTTCAAGGATTTTGATCTCAAAACAATGGTTTAAAGAGGCCAATCTACTTAATTAAAGTTCTCAAATGAAGCTAATTTGGGTTTTCTTTAAAATTTGGGTCAAAATAGCATTTTTACTCAACTTAGCCCCCTTTTCCTTTGTCAACCGGCCTACCGGTGACAAAGATGTGCATCACCACCGGTCGGCCGGTGGTGTGCTGACCGGTCGACCGGTGGAGATCTGCAGGGCGAGGAAAGCTCACCGAATTAGCTCAAAAACCTGCAAAACTCAGGATTTTGGGATCATTTTCAAGGAAAATTCATAAGGAAATCACATAAACCAACACTCAAACACTTTTCCAAGTCCAAGAAACCAAAACCCTCAAATTTTCATCATGGATTCCAACCAAAATTTCAACCAAAAATCGAGTTCAAACCACAAATCACCAAAACTAAGCAAAATCACAGCTTTCCAAAGAAGATTCGAAATCAAAGGAGGGTTTCTCAAAGATTTTACCTTGAATGTGACCTTGGTGGAGACAACTTCTTGAAAACCCCTTTTTGCTCAAATCCAAGTTCAAAATCTCTTGCTCTTTGGTTTGTTTACTCAAGGAGAACTTAATCTCCTCTTGATCTAACTCCAAGAGTGTGTGAAGAGATTAAGAGAGAGTGAAAGGGGCAAAGAGAGAGATGAGAAAGGAAGAGTGAGAGGGAGTGAGAATGTGCGAGAAAGAGAGAGAGGGAGAGTATCTCACGGGTAAGGGAGAGGGAAAGAAAAAGGAAAATGAAAGAAAAGAAAAGGAAAAAAAAGGGTAGAAATGGAGAAATAATAACCAAATAAGGTAAAATGTAAAAATGGTTAAAACTTTTAATGCAGAAATATAAATACTGAAAGTAATTTAAAATTCTTTGGAATTGCTTGGAATCTTAATCTTTAATCACAAGATTAAGTAACAAAATCCATATTAGGCACACTAATACATTCTAATTATTATAATTAATCTTGTTTAATTTCTTGAGGTATTACAGAATATAAAGTCAAAATTTAAGTTACAATCAAAACATTTAAAAAATTTAAAATATAACTATAGTTAAAACTTAAAATATGTGGATAATAGAAACTTAAAAAAAGTTAAATGAAATTGCAATTAGAAATTTAGGGGAGTAAATTAAAATATATAGTTGTAAAGACAACTATTTCTAGCGCAAATATTCAATGGAGCCCTTAGGCAAGGGACTCATTGAATTCCCCTTTTTTGAAGGTAGACTAATAAATTTGAAGTTGAAAGGTACAGTTTTCTTTTCTTGACAATGTTTATCGTGTAGATGAGCTAATTAATTTTTCTTTTCTTTTCTTTTCTTTTCTTTTCTTTACATTTTTCAGATATGAAAATTAATTTCTCTTCTTTAGGGAAAAAAAAATCTAATAGACACCGTGTTATATACTCTAGAAAGTTCAATTGACATAATTCATCGAAAGTCACATCTCAATCCCCACGACAAGTTATTGAGGCAAGTTGAGCTGGCGTCAAAAGAATGACAAAATAGATAGATTTCTGTTAATAATAATAATAATTTTTTTTTTTTTTTTTTTTTTGCAGAGTTACTGAACTTGAAGCGTATGATGTAATTAGTTGTTCTCTTTGTATCTAATCTTATGAGTAACGCTATGATTCTCTCGTTTAAACTTTTTAAGTAATATGTGATTTATTTTGTATGTCTTTTACTTTATGAATAAATGACAAGAGGATTTTCAAAGATTTAACGACATGTGTTTTTTCCTTAAAGACGACGCAGATTATGACTCGTTTTTTTTTTTCTCATCTTTGGCTTGACCACATAAAAACGGCATGTCAGTCACCAGAACGACAGCAAATTTAAACTTACAATATGAATCGCTCTTTAACGACAAAGTGCAAACCATGCCTGGTGAGCTCCAGTATAAACGATCGCAAACTATGAAAATGGAACCAGTGGGCCACATGCACGTCAATTTTTCCCTCTAATTGACGGTAAAATTTACAAGACCGACATGCTTACAATAACAACTCTAGAATTCTGCATCTAAACGGCTTGTCGTAAAATGCTCGAGGAGAGAAATTCCAAAAAAAAAAAAAAAAAGAAAAAAGAATGACATGTCGTTTTTTTGTCGTTTTCAAAAAGCTTTAAACTAAAAATGAGAAATCGTAGCAATTATTTTTTTTTTTTTAAGTAAGATGCGGAAGTTAGATGTCGTATTAATTATTTATTGAAACGACATCAAATTTGTCCAAGCTTTCTCTTCCACGTCCCATCTATAGATACCAAATAAGTTGAGTCTATCTCAATTATAAAAGTCTTCCGTGGCCACTTTTTATTGGTGTCCTAGACGTACTTAATTAGCTTAGCAGATATATATATATATATATATATATATATATAATCTTGGACTAACAACAATAGAAGAAGATTTCTGTATGCGAATTCTGAATGGAGAGAAAAACATCAAACTTGAGAAACAAGATTGCCAAGCTTCTTTCTCTTCCCCATGCAACTCCTTCCATCACCGCCATCTTAGTAAGCCCTCCTCTAAGCCCCCGCAAGCCCAGCTCAACCAAGCCAGTCTACACTTCCATTATTAGCAGATATATATATATATATATATATATATATATATAATCTATATAGCAGCTTTGTTACTGTAAGAATGTGCCATTCAATAATCTAGTCTTGCTCAACAATGGATACTCCAGAAGGCATTAACATATATAACTGATTTAATTAGTACTGATGTTTCGGCAAAAAAATAAAAGAAGAAAAGAAAATAGTGTTCATGCCATGTACTCTTTTTATCCAACTTCTACAATGGATCAAACTAAAGTAATCCTTTTACAAAGTATTAGATACAAGGAATTTTGCCAACGACCACTTGCTCAAACGACACGAGTAGGGTGGAGCGGGACTTGAGTTTGAGAAGGGGCCAGTTCGATCCCCCAATTTATAAACAGGAAAAACAAAAGAATACAAGGAATTCTTTGTTATGTTCGAGAGAAATTAGTAAAAATACTCTTGAGTCATCACTTTGGTGTAATTAATACTTAAACTTGAAGCCACCTATCGAAGTGATCAAAATCGATTTGAGAAGCCACTGATTCAAAATCGAAGCCATGTGGAGGTGTCTCCTCTGAGGGTGTTGAGGAAATTATTTGGTCTCTGCCATAAATATTACCAAATGAGCTGTTCTGGTCACCCTCGTGATTTTCAGTTAGCTCGGACCAATCGGTGTTGAGAAAATCAGAAAGAAAATGTTGGTCCATCTCAAAATCGGCAATCCCAAAATCAGCCAGTTGGTCATTTTCCTCCGAGTTAATCGATGAGCTCGGCGATGACTCAATCCCAGCACTGGTACCTGTACTACTGGTACCACTACGATCAAACTGGTCATGAAGCTTTTCTTCTTCTGATTCTGCGGAGCTTGGGATCATAATGATTGGTTTGGAAGGCCTTACTGCCTTTGTTCGAACCACACTTGTCTTTATATCGCTGTTTCTGCGGGGTTTTGGCGCAGGGAGATTCTGTTTCTTGGTTGGCTTTGATCCAGATTGCTTAGGCTTGATTGCTTTTCCGAGTTTCGTGTGCCAATAATTCTTGATTTCATTGTCAGTTCGGCCTGGAAGCCTCCCAGCTATTAAGGACCATCTGCATCATTCAATTAGTACTCAAGATCATTAGCCATGAATTAACACACGCATATGATGATCATTTCTTAAGCTTTATTTTAATATATACAACACACACATAAAGAAGCACGAAATACCTGTTGCCAAGGAGCTTGTGAAGCCTAATTATGAGATCATCTTCCTCTTCACTAATCCTTCCTCTTTTAATACCGGGTCTTAGATAATTCACCCATCTTAGCCTGCAACTCTTCCCACATCTCTTGAGCCCTGCATGTAAATACAAATATAATCAGCCATGAAGTCAGGAATTTTTTTCTCGGGAGAACTTAAAACTTACACAATATTGTATTGCAATTTTTATCTATGAATCGTATCAATGAAGTACTATATGAATCTTTCATCGAATGAATCCAAGGGCGCTTACCGGATCTTTCAGGAAGGCTTCTCCAATTCCCTTCGCCGTGAATTTCGATGTATTCGGCGAGAATTTTGTCTTCCATCGGTGTCCATGCCCCTCTGTTCAATCCAGCATCCTTTGAACAACAAGGTTTTCTTCCCATCTCTCTGTCTTTTGTCTCTCACTCCTGGTTTTCTTGGGGAAATTGTAGTCAAAAGAGTTCAATTGTTGGAGTTGGGTTGGTGTGGCACTTAATCATAAGCCCTTTCTATATTTATACTATTACAAGTGGCATCTACGTTATTTCCCTGCAGCCATCCTATACGGCTACACCGGAAATACGAATTTAGTAATAGTTTAGATGTTGACTTTTTCCATTGTAATCAATACAACGTGCAAAATGTATGTATTTACTTATATTCTTTTCACAACCTAGCCATCTGTCTTGAGGCGGCTGCAGTGCAAAGAAGATAAATTGTCAAGTTGTTACTTGTCTGTATTATAATTTGTTTTTTGCTGACTTATCTGCATTATAATTTAGTTTAATTAGGTTATGGCTAATATAAGTCATAAAAGGATGGAATGGATGGTCTTCAAGTCAAGTAGTATTTGTATGAATGAATATTTAAAGCTAAGACTCCACGTAGAAACCGTTCATCACATCAGCTCATGATTTTTTTAATGAAAAAAGAAACGATTTCTACAGTAGGACTCAAAAAATGAACTACTGACAGCCCTTTTTTTTTTTTTTGTTTTTTTAATCATTCTGCATAATTTTTTTTATTTAATGTGATTTTAATCAAATTTAATAATAATAATAATAAACATATATTATCGGTAGAAGGATTTATCGTAGAAACACGTTAAAAAGGAAATAGAAAAAAATGAGAATGAAAACGTTGAACAAATATATGGTCAGAGTATTGGTGCTTCCTGATAGCTTCCGGTTTTGAAGTGAACGGTCGACACGATCATGATGAGATACTTCCGGACTAAATGATACGAATAAAGACTATTATAAATGGCGTTCTTTTATTGTTATTTTATTTTATTTTCTTTTTCTGGCAAGAGACAAAAATGATGAATGGGGATGAGGTTGTATATACTTGTGCACATGCACACTATTGCTTTCACGGTAAAGAAAAATGCGTTTTGACCGTTGACTTCTTTTTATAAGTTTGAAAAAAAGAAAAAAGAAAATATGTTTCGGCACGCCACTGATAATGATATAAACTTGAAATTCCGATATAATATTCTCTAATGTACGTCCAAAGCCAGACTGTGTGGATAGGATTCAAACCCAATAAATTATATTTTTTTGAATCCTATCTTCATAGTGTATATATTTATTTTTTTGTAGGCAACTGACGAGTTAACCAATAGGTGGAAAATTATGAAAAATACTTTAAAAGTCCTTTATTATGAGTTTACATTTGTTGTTTCTAATTTCTGGAATGGCTTCATATGCCCTTCTCTATGTCTCTTTATGTGTCACTCACGTCATGATATAAAAATCTTTTAATTAACATGACATTTTAATTGACGTGCCACAATATTATTGGAGGGACATAAAAAGAAATAAAAATAACATGAACAGAAGTTAGTTCCCTAATTTTCTGTTCCTATTTCTCCCATACACTAATTAGCCATAAATTTTAAATTTAAGAACCAAAGCATATTATAAATATTAAAATACTCAATTAAATGAGGTGCTAAAATTTAATAGGAGAAAAAGTCAATAGAATTAGGACACAAAGAGGGGACAACATATTTTAGATTATCTTTTTTTTCCCCCTACCTTCTTATTATTTACACATCAATTGAAGAGAGATGTCGAATCTACACATAAGAGACTTAAGCCCGGTTTATTTCACCGATTCGAGTTTTACTACAGTAAAAAATAAATTACTGATAATTTTTTATTTTTTAATTATTAAATTTATATTAAAAATTATTTATTTTGTATATTTTTTTATTTAATATGATTTTAACCTCATCAAACTGTTGGTAGGTATACTTTTTTTATTTCCCTTTCATTTGTTTAGTTCTTTTGACAATAATACGAGGAAAAAAATTGAAGACCTTGAAGTACACAAGATAAAGGGAAACCTTTTTTCTTATGCACTGTCCTTCTTTCTCTCGTCTTTTTATCCGCTCTGTTTCCCTTGTTTCTCATCACATGAACTCTGAAAAAGCTTCCTCCCTTGAGCATTACCTTGGCCATTTTCTGGGGATTATTTAACCAGAACAAAGCTCACGAAATCCCCGTCATATAAAATGAACAGCTAGAAAAACAAGCCTGATTTTAATTTTGTTGGAACTTGGATTAGGACATTCCAATGTCTCGATTGATAATAACTGGTGTGCTCTTGACAAAGAAGAGGAACACAATGCAAATCTTCCCCGAAAAAGCGAGAGAGCTGTGGAATGAATGCGAGCTCCGAGCTTTAGTCCTAACAAGCCTTGTCCTGCAACTCATCCTAATCCTGATCGGAAACCGGCGAAAACACTCTGCCAGTAATAAAATCAGAGTCCTCCTATGGCTGGCATACTTGTCGGCGGACTCTGTCGCGACGGTTTCTCTCGGCGTACTCTCCAACAACCAAGAAGACAGTTCCAAAGAGACCAACGCCACAGACCCAAACTACGTGATCGCGGCCTTTTGGGCCCCATTTCTTCTCCTACACCTAGGCGGACCAGACACCATCACTGCCTACTCGTTGGAAGACAACGAGCTGTGGCTGCGGCACTTCCTTGGCCTAATTGTCCAAGTTGGAGTGGCTTTCTATGTCTTCCTCAGGGCTTGGAACTCCGGTACGATGAGTCTTTTGTCGATTCCGATATTTGTAGCCGGGATTGTCAAGTTCGGAGAGAGGACTTGGGTTTTAAGGTCGGCGAGCAGTGAGCATTTCAGAGAGTCCATGCTTCCTAGTCCTGACCCTGGTCCCAATTACGCTAGATACATGGAGGAATATTGTGCCAAAAAAGAAGAGGGTTTTCATGTTAAGTCCACCATCATTGACGCCGGTAGAGCAGGGGATCAGGAACATCCCGGCACAGCTAACACTACGGCGATTAGTGTCGATTCGACTGCAGAAATAGTACGAAAAGCTCATAGATTCTTCTTGGTTTTTAGGCGCCTATGTGCTGATCTTATCCTCAGTTATCATGACATAACCGGAAGCCGAGCATTCTTCCGAAAGATATCCTTTGATAGCGCTTTCAAGGTGATTGAATTCGAGCTCGGATTAATGTACGACGCGTTTTACACGAAGGCAGTGTTGATCAACTCCAGAGTCGGTATAATTCTTCGTTGCATTAGCTTTTTTTCGACCGTTTCAGTGCTCATTACGTTCTTTTTCGCAAACAAGGAAGCATATTTGCGTGTCGATGTGGTTATCTCTTATATCTTGCTGGTTGGAGCAATAGTGCTGGAGATTTGCGCTGTAATTGTAATGCTCGCTTCGGACTGGACAGTGCTACGATTGAGCAGGCATAAGAGTGTTAATTCGATGGTGAATCGAATTTTTCCGGTGAGTGTTCGAGGCCGGGATAAAAACAAGAGAAGATGGTCTAATAAGATGGCGCAGTATAACTTGATAAGTATTTGTCTTGAAAATAAACCGCCCAAGTGTATTAATCTCCAGAAGGTTTTCTTTGTTGACAAATTGTTAGAGAAGTACCGGCACATGTACGTGAGAGATGTCCCTACTCATTTGAAGGAACTGATCTTCGAGCAGCTAAAAGATAAATCTAGTGGCGATTTCGAGAACTGCAAGGAATTGTGCCGTAGGAGAGGCGACCACGTGCTCAGAACAGAAAATTTGCTAAATAATGTCGTTTTGGGCAGGACTACAGAGTTGGAATTCGATCAGAGCATTCTTCTATGGCACATTGCAACAGATTTATGTTATTACTCCGGTGACGATCATTCCAACACCGGCCACATCAGGGGTGGGGCAACGTACAACCGAGGGTAACTGACCACTCCACTTGAAATTTTTTTCTCTATTAATTCTTATACTTGAAATCTGATGAAATTTATAGTTTGCCCATCCTAAGATTCTGAAATTCTACATTTAGCGGAATTCATTTTAACAAAAAAAAAAAAAAAAAAATTTAGTATAAGCCCCCGCCCTCAAACTTACATTTTACTGGCCCTACCCCTACGCAGCATTGATGATCATCGCAAAGCGAGCAAGTTGTTATCGGACTACATGTTGTATCTTGTGGTGGTGTGTCCTTTCATGTTGCCAAACGGGATTGGACAAATAAGGTTCCAAGACACATGTGCTGAGGCTGCTGAGTTTTTCAAGGAGAGAGTAGTCCACGTCAAGAACAAGAAGGATTTTGACAAAGAAGCTCGTCGTATGTTAATGGAGGTGAGCACAGAAGTGCCACCGTTGGAAGTAAAAGGCGACAGAAGCAAGTCCGTGCTGTTTGAGGCGTGCATTGTGGCTAAAGCTGTGGAGGAGTCAATGGGAGTAGAGCAACGGTGGAAGGTGTTGTGTCGTTTGTGGGTCGAAATCTTGTCGTACGCCGCCAACCGGTGTGGATGGAGTCACCATGCTCAACAACTTAGGCGAGGGGGAGAGTTGCTTACTCATGTTTGGCTTCTCATGGCACATCTTGGTATAACAGAACAGTTTCAAATCTCAAGGGGTCATGCAAGGGCCAAGTTAATTGTACAATGAACCAAGTTGTTTGTTCGGAACCTTTCTTTAGCACAAAAATATTCCTATTGCTGTTTTAAACCATGGTATTCTCATCAAATAGTATTGTTAAATTCACATCTTTTTTAGCTTTAATATGTTTTTATATGATTTAACAACTTTTTTTAGCAAAAAAAAAATTATTCTATAATATCGGTTGAAAATGCATTTTTTTAAACCTTTTAAACATGATTTAACAGTTTAGAACTTAGAAGTATTATTATGATATTTTTTCTTCTTTTTTTTTGCGCAAATAATTAGGATAATTTTTTTCTTATTATCTTAACTAATAATCCTTGTTTTTTATTTTTTAATAATTTGCTCCCAAAGCTTAAAGGCGTGTTCTTTTAACAACTCAAATCACAACTTAAACTTATTTGTTATAATATTTTCTCTTATAAAAATTTAATTAAAATTTTTTTATCACAATGTTTTTTTAACATAAAATACTCAAATTCTTAACTTGAGTTGCGAAAAAAAGCATACTCCATGTAGTGACCAAGAAAATCTCAGAATTTAAATAATGCATTTTATGTATCTAAGTCAAGGATTTTTCCTGAAAAAAAATATATATTATGTTATATTTTGTGATTGAAGGATTTATGGAATTAACATCTGTATTCCTAAATTCTGTAGCAGATTTCATGTTAAGTTCATGTTTTTGCGATCAAATAAATTCGATCGATAAATTCTCACCGTACTTTAAAACGGAAGAATTTCCAGTACATATACAGTTTGAGAATCTTAATTTCAAGAATCTCCAAGCACAATACGAACTAGCATCCAGTACATATACATGAGAAAATTACAGCCAGTATAATTTTGAACAGTTTCAAAGAGAAACTTAAGAGAGTGGACAAAAGTACAAGGGTTAGGTAATATTTTTCCTCTCTCTTTCTCCACTTGGCCGGCCATGCATAGGGAAAATTATAGCCAAATTTTGTCTAGTTGAGTGTGCTAGAGGGTTTCATGTTAATGTGTGATGTGATAGTAGTAGTTGAAGGGAAAATCATGGCATACTTACTCCTTCTTTTCCCCACCTAGAACCGGCCATGCTTAGGGGATTTGAACCAAAAATTTGGTTGATTGATGGAGTTGATTTGTGTTAAAAAAATGATTTCCAACTTGTCTATAAAAGGAACCATCATAAGCTAGGCCTCATTTTTTTTTCTCCGCTCCTTTTCCCCACAAGAAAACCGGCCATACTCCACCCATACTCTCTCAAAAAATTTTCTCCCATCCTCCTAACCTTAAGCCACTAGCAAACCATAGAAGAAGAAGAAGAAGAAGATCAAAGGGTTCTAGGAGGAGTCTAGTCAAGCATTTCTCCAAGGGTATAAACTCTAAACCCTCTCCTTCTTATGTTTAGTAAAGTTTGAGATGTATAAATATTCTTCTCAAATTTTCTTATACTCTTCTAGTTCTAAGCCATTAACAAACCTTAGAGGAAGAAGGAGGTGATCAAGTATTCTAGGAGGAGCCTAACTAAGGATTTTCTTCAAGGGTATAAATTCTAAACTTTTCTCCTATATTTTCCTACCAAAAGTCTAGTTGGGAATCAAGGATGTAATTTGTGGCTCTTGAGGAGATAAGTTGTAATAAGGGTGTGTGAGTTTTATGTTGGTTTTGTGTGTTTTGAGGTTAGTTTGATGTGGTATGCTTATGTTTGATTTAAGTTGCTTATTTTGGGTTGGAGGAAAAATTTTTCGGTTACTTTGAACGCGAAAACGAGGACCCTAGAGCGATATTTTTCAGTATTTCTAAACTTGAACTTTTGATTCTCGATTTTTTGAACATTTTTCTGTGACTATGACAAAACCCAACTTTAACTCTAAGCAAATTTGAAGCCATTTTGCCAAAACGGATAGGCTGTCCCACACAGTTTCAGAAAAAAAATAGCAGCCACTGTTTTCAGCCAAACGAGGCCTTTAGAAGCTGAATTTCAACTTTCACTAAAAACAAAAATTTTAAATCTCGACGAGACGAAGAATTGTCACGAAGAACAAAATTTTGAAATCTGACTCTAAGATGCAGTAAAACGCAGATTTTAGAAACTGTACAGTTTTAACAAAAAAATTTTAAATCTCGACGAGACGAAGAATTGTCACGAAGAACAAAATTTTGAAATCTAACTCTAAGATGCAGTAAAACGCAGATTTTAGAAACTGTACAGTTTTAACAAAACGAAACTAACACAGTGTTAGTTTCTAACAAAAAGTTATCAAAGAATCCGAGATGTGATTTCAGTGAAATACTATGGTATTAAGGCTTATTTTAATGGAATTATTCGTAAAGAAAGTTTTCAAGCAAAATGCTTTCTTTTAAAAAACTTAATGGTTTATCGAGCAAATCATCCCGACAGACATCTACGAGCCCAATACGATAGGTCCTTAGAATTTCAAAGATTGGATGTGGGTCTAACGCCCGCATTAATTTAAGAGACTCCGTTAGAGTATAAATTTCAGTGGCCTAAGAGTTAGAATGCCGTGTATAAGTTTCTAAGATGAATTGGGCTTTAATATCATAACAAGGCTAATGAGGAAAATTATGGAGAATAAATTACTAGATTGGGTAATTGATTTTCAATCTAGGCAAGTAGATATTAAGGGCAGTTAAGAAAAAATAAGATTTTGAGGATTTAATAAATTGATCCTTGTTATCCTTTAGTAAATGAGAGAAACACATGCCTTAAGGAAAGGGTTAGATTTTCCTTCATAAGTTGCTAAAATAGAATAACAAACGATAGGTAATCTCACACACTCAATGGGTGTTCATTTTCAGAAGTAAGCAAGTAAGAGACTAGGCTGTTGGCGAAAAGTGAATTCCAGCCCTGTGAATCAGGTAAGTAGGAATCTCGCCTACACTATGAATAGATTTTAAAGAAAAAGTTACACATGTTATATATGCATGTTTATGCTTTATGTCTTGTACGTGATGCCATGTCATACTGCATACACCTTAATAAGTCAAGAGGAACTTATAAGAATAATCTCAGTTGAGTGTCGTACCAGCCTCTGAGAGGGAAGTAACTCAGGCTCCGCAAGGGAGAAGAAAAAAAGAATATAATAATGTCCTATGAGAGGGAGGCATTCTGTAGTGACCAAGAAAATCTCAGAATTTTAATAATGTAATTCATGTATTTGAGTCAAGGATTTTCCTGGAAAATCATTATACTATGTACATTTTGTGATTGAAGGATTTATGGAATTAACATCTGCATTCCTAAATTCTGTAGCAGATTTCACGTTAAGTTCACATTTTTCCGATCAAGTAAATTCGATCGATAAATTCTCACCGTACTTTAAAACGGAAGAATTGCTAGTACAGATACAGCTTGAGAACCTTAATTTTAAGAATTTCCAAGCACAATACAAACTAGCATCCAGTACCCGCATACAGGAGAAAATAGCTGTCAGTATAATTTTGGACAGTTTAATGAGTAAATTTAGAAAGTAGACAAAGGTACAAGGGTTAGGTTTCATTTTTCTCTTTCCTTCCTTCACTTGGCCGGCCAAACTTAAGGGATTATGGCCAAAAATTTGGCTAGTGAAGTGTGCTACATGGACTTCATGATGGGATTGAGTCAAATCAACTATTGGACATGAAATGCTACATCCCCCCTCTTGAAATGGGATGGTAGTGGTTGAAGGGGAATTAATGGCAATTTTGGCTTCTTGGCTTCTCCTTCCATAACCGGCCAAGATTGGGGGAAATTGAACCAAAATTTAGTTGATTGAGAGAGTTGATGTGGTGTTAAAAAAATAATTTCCAAGTGCCTATAAAAGGAACCACCATAGGATAAGCCTCATTTTTTTCCCTAGCTTTTCTCTCCCCCTCAAAATCCGGCCATACCATACTCCCCCACTCTTTCTCAAATATTTTCTCCTACTCTCCCAATCTTGAGCCACTACAAACCATAGAAGAAGAAGAAGGAGACCAAAGGGTCTAGGAGGAGTCTAGACAAGCATTTTTTTCAAAGGGTATAACTCTAAATCTTTTTTTTATGTTATGTTTTAGTAAAGTTTGAAATGTAGAAATATTCCTCTTAAATTTCCTTATACTTTCTAGTCCCAAGCCAATAACAAATCTTAGAGGAGTTCAAAGTTTTCAAGGGAGAGAGATAGTTCTTCAAGGGTAAGCTCTCAAACTCTTCTCCATTAATTTCTAGCCAACTTTAAGCTTGGATTTGTGGATGTAAATTTGAGGTTCTTGAGGAGATGAGTTGTAATAAGGGTGTGTGAGTTTTATGTTGGTTTGTGAGTTTTGAGGTTAGCTTGATGTGGTATGTTTATGCTTGATTTAAGTTGCTTATTTTC